TTTTTTTTTTTTTTTAAATGTATTTGGTACAGGATCTCACTACACAGCTCAGCCTCCTAGTGATTCTCCTGTTTTCAGCCGTCCAAGCGCTGGGATTACAGGCATGTGCCACCACGCCCAGTCTTTAGTCACAGTCTCAGTGGACCCTGGGGAGAGGCTGGCAAGGCACGCCAGGGATTGAACCCTGGTCCCTGCACCTGCCCAAGCAAGCACTTTAGTCTGCTGAGATAACTGGCCGGCCCTGATCCTCCTGTTTTCAGCCTCCCCAGTGGGGGGATTACAGGCGCATTCCACCATGCCCAGTCTTGGTCACCAGCTCAGCGCACACAGTCCAAAAGGACAGCATACCCATCAAAACCTGGTCCCTGCCTGCACTTATTCCATTGAGCTATCTCACTGGCCCAATGGGCACTTTTTTCTCTTTGTGAATTTTGGCAGTCTCTATGTAGGCCAGGCTGGCCTTGAACTTGCTGTGATCCTCCCACCTCAGGCTCCAGAGGGCCGGGATTACCACACTGACAAGCAGGGCAGTTTTCAAAGGCAGCAGTCCTTTACCTGCAGACCAGCAGGAGGGCCTGGCTCCTGGGATCTGGGCCAATGTAAGAAGCCACTGCCTTCCCATGATGCCATCTGGGCATTCTTGCTCCCATGTTGCCCTCTTCTAACTCCCACCCTGTCTTCACACAGGACTTTACTCCACGCTGTTCTAGCAGCTCTGGATTTCTCTGCTGGTTAGCTTCATCATCTCCTGACCTGAGCAGCAGTTCTGTGGTGAGGCCTGTCTTCCTCAGGCAACACCCTCCCGCTGGAGGCCAAAGCTGAGCTGTGCTGCCCCGCAGGAGCCAGTGCAGACTGCTCTCTGGTTTAGTCTGCTCCTCTGGAAAGATGCGGGAAGGTGGGGGGAGGGGGCAGTGACTGTGCTGCTCTTCCCCCACTCGATTTTGGACAGTGACATCATTGTGAGACTTCTGGCTTTTGAAATTTGTGAAGGGAAATAGAAGAGCTGTCTGAAAAGCAGGCAGCACTAAGAGCTCCAACAGGAAGGCCACAGCTAATGAGAGGCTAGGAAATGAGATCATCTCTTTTGTGGAATCATCCGATAGAGGAAACGAAGGCTGTACACGGGAGGAGAGGCAATGCAATTAGTGGAGCCATCTATACCATAACCTTCAGTCCAGGATATAACCTCAGGCTGTGCAGATGGGTGTGCTAAGGCTCATCTACTAAGGATTTGTTTCTCCTTCCTTAGTTTTTCTTCAGACTCAGAGACCTAAATTAGTATGCCAAGGGAGGGACAGAGTGCCTTGTGTAATTTCAGAAGCGGTGCGCTTTTATTTATTATAGGGTCTCGATTCGCAGCTTGGACTCAGAGGGATCCTTCTGTCTCAGCCTCCCTAGCTGGGATTACAGGCATGTGGCACCATGGATGGTTTTGGTGGCTGGCATGTGTGGGGTGGCATGGCATGCGGTACTGGGGATCAAATCTGGGTCCTTGCGCTTGCTAGGCACTTAGACTGCTGAGCTAGTTCCCCAGCCCTGCCATGCACTTTTATTTTTTTGTATTTAGTACAGGGACTCTCTACGTAGATCAAACTAGTAGTGATTCTCTTGTTTTCAGCCTCCCAAGTGCTGGGATTAAGGGCATGCACCACCAAGCCCAGTCTCAATCACCCCGGGGGCAGGGCCAGCACAGCATGCTGGGGATTGAACCCTGGCCACTGCGCTCTGCCTAAGCAGGCATTTTATTCTGCTGAGCTATCTGGCTGGCTCTCCGCCATGTGCTTTTATTTATTTATATTTATTTATTTGGAGACTGGGGCCCTTGCGCTTGCCAGGCCAAGTGCTTATTCTATTGAGCTATCTCCCCGGCCCCCTGCCATGCGCTTTTAAAAAATGCACCATCAGGACTTGGTGGTCTAAGCTGGCCCTGGAACTGGGTGTGGTGACACATGCCTGTAATCCCAGCACGGGATAGACTGAGACAGGAGGATCACTACGAGTCTGAACTGTGTAGCGAGACCCTGTACCAAATAATTTTTAAAAAAATGCACAATTGAAGACATCCATTAATGTGCAAGGCAAAAGGACAGCATACCCATCATACTGAGGCATGCGCATCCTCCTGTAGGCTATAAGTTCAGTATGGTCTCATTATTCATCGGTGGCAAAGGCTGGCACACACTCCTACCGCATTCACAATTTAGTTCTTTGGATTTAGGTAATGCATGGCAGAAGTAATTTGAACCATTAAAACCCAGGCTGAAAAACAAAAACCATGAAGTCTTATCTATCTCAAGGTTTTAATATATTTATTTGAAAACCAAGGTCTGTGAAAGAGCACACCAAATGGTCATCATGTGTTTTCTCTTCAGTCAGAGACTTAGAGACGAGTTCTTGAGGTGAGCACACAGTGAGGCCACATGCTGGTCCTGCGAGGGCTCCCACCGCGCGCTCTCCACAGCTGGCCGCGCTCTCCACAGCTGGCCGGGCTTTGAGTGGCCAGAGCTCCTGCGGTGGGAAGGGAGGGAAGACAGTGGAAACAGTGTCATTCTTTATTTCAAACTTTTAAAAATCACAGGCTGTTGAAACTTAGAGCTCCAATCCTGCCTCTCAATTCCTAATATGCCAGATCTGCTACTTTTATCCTTTTAAAAACCAGTGAGAGGGGCTGGTGGGATGGCTCAGTGGTCTAAAGCACCTACTTAGAACAAGCTGCAGCAAAGCACAGGGACCCCGGTTCAATCCCCCAGCACCACATGCCAGCCAGCCCTGCCCCCTGGTGGGCTGAGCTGGCCACACACACACACACACACACACACACAC